AATGTATGGGGATTAACATAAGAATAAAAAAAAAAAGGTAGGAGCTATGATTGTTAAAGCACAGTTTAGGCAAAGGGACTTCAGGTATAAAGGCATGTATAAAAAAATGGTTTTCTGAGATAGCATAAGTTTTTAAGACACCACATGCAATTGTGAATTGTTTGGAACAAAGAATGTATGCAGAAGAGTGTGGAGATGTTAGTAGTAGGAAGGGCCTGAATATAACATTATACCAAAGAGCTTGGATATTATTTTTTAGGACTGTGGGAAATACTGACTTTAAGCAGGGAATCATTAGGATCAGATAGACATATTTCAAAGATTACATAGAGAACAGAGTGTGATGCTTAAGCTCCAGCGCCCTTTGGTTTTGTGGAAACCTTCTAAAGTCCTGGAATGAACACTAGCAATGAGTTTTGTGGTCAAATGTTTTCTGTAAAATTTGAAAAAGGAGGATATTTTAACTGCAATGGTCTCTTTCTACTTTAACTTGCTTCTAATGCATTTTCCCTAGGCTGTGGGCATTTTGGAAACCAGCTAATGGGGAAGTTCAGGATTATTTAGTAATATGTGTGTGTATGTATGTGTGTGTGTGTGTGTGTGTATATATATATATATATATATATTTTTAAGATTTATTTATTTGAGAGAGAGAGAGGGAGACTGACAGCAGGAGTGGGAGGGGCAAAGGGAGAGGGAGAGAGAATCTCAAGCAGACTCCCTGCTGAGCCCGGAGACTGAGGCAGGGCTGGATCCCAGGATCCTGAGATCATGACCTGCATGGAAACCAAGAGTGGAATGCTTAACATACTGCACCACCCAGGCACCCCTAGTAATATATATTAAAGTAGTTTGTAGTCACATCTATGTATAGCTAAGTTATTGCTACTCATCCTGGTATAGAAATAGCTTCTGGTAATGATTTTACTACCCACACTTCAGTTAAAAGGCAAAGATATAGGGCCAAAGGTCATATTGTGATATGTATATTCATGATTTCATGTCTGTTTCTTAAAGAAGGACACTAAACCATATAAACTTCAGGACCAGGATCTTTACCTAGAGCAATACGAAATAAGACTAAATCAGTAAATTACTGTAAAATTCTTTTAGTCTTGTGAGAGATGAAGACCTGAACCAAGGCAGTGATAGTAGAATTAGAGGGCAAAGGTTAAGATGCCAGAAGCATCCAAGGAGTACAATCTAGGGAACTTGGCAATTGTTTTGATTGGGAGGTTGGTTTCACAACAGATTATGGACTTGGATAACCGGAAGGATGGAGGCCCAGTCGTGGACAAAAAACATTAGGGGAACTACAAGTTTGGGTGGAGGATGAATCGTTTTGGGCTTCTTGCATTTCAGGTGTCAGACTGTAGACAAAAATGCACGTCTACAACTCAGCTAAGCACCCAGATGTTGGGGGATATAACTTGCTATTATTTTCTTCTCTGGAGGCCAGGGCCCTCGCTTTCCAGTCCTCAGCCCAGGAAACCGCAGGCACTTACACACCCCCAGGGCTTCCCAGTGGCGCCCGCTCACCGGATGTACGGATGTGTGAGCAGCACTTCCGCCCCCGGAGGCACGCGCTCAGGGGATCTTGTGCGCAGGCGCCGCGAGGCTCATAGCCCGGCCCAAGCTCTGTGGGCTCGGGGTACCTCGTGAGTGGTGTCGCTTCTGTGTGGTTTTCAGCAGGATACCTTTCTCCACAGAGAGAGCGTTCTCTTCCTACTTCATCCCCCAAACCTCCACTTACTCCTCCGGAAGTCAGCGGCACCTCCCCGAGGGCTTTGTAGGTCTCCAGGCACCGAGGCAGCGACACTAATGAAGATGAGTCACCGCTGATTTCCCAGCTGGTAAACTCACGACTCATTACCTTTGGTGGTTTTGCCCAAAGCCCGGAAAAGCTTCGGGAGCTGAGTTTAAGGTCTGCAGTGACTTTGGGTTTTATATATGAACTTAGAATTAAGAGGGAAAAGTCTCAGTGATTAAGATACCTTTTTCTTAAGCTAGGTTCCCCAGGAAAGGGACCAGAGTAATTGCAGCCTCCTGGAATCCCAGAGTGGCTCATGTACCTGAGCAAGCCTGAGGATTTACACTGTCTTGTGACTAAACTCTTTCAGTGTAGCAGGATAGTTGAGGGAAACTTGACTTCATTATTACTAACAGATGTGGAACAAATAAAAATGTGTAGTTTTATTAGTTTATTACTTACAAATACATTCTAAATAAGCCATTCACGGCAGAATACCAAAATGTAGTGGACAGTAGTAGTCCAGTGGGTAATTTTGTGTTATTGAGGATGACTGGTAACTTAGAGTGTGATATGAACCGGTTGTATACCTTGAGCCATTGGTTGAGTTAGAAATCCGCCCACTCTTAAAAAAAAAAAAGAAAAGAAAAATCTTAACCATTCCCCTCACCTGCTTGAAGTTTTTTTTCCATTGCCCTTTTTACTTCGTAATATATAGCAGAATTTACTTACTTTATAGCCATCATTTATTATTTGTCCCACACCAGAGTTAAGCTCCATGAAGGTAGGAACTTTTTTTTCTGCTTACTGTTGTGTTTCAAAGGCCAAGAACAGATTTGGCCCAAACTAAGCACTCAACATACACTTATTGAATGAATGAAAAAAATGAGTATGTTATTTTTCATAGAGCATGAAGTAGAGCTTAGAGTGGGTTTGCATGATTGGCATGACCTATGTGGAGCTAGTAAAGGCAGTCAAAAAATGAACAAATGCTTATGGAATATCTGATATTCCCCAAATGATAACTTTCCAAATTTCCCAGAATTTACCATCTTTTCTCCATTAAACATTCTGACATTTTTATATTTGGCCTATGCGGTTCACCTCCATTACATCTCTTATAGTGGTATGCTCATACTAGATAATAAATATTTGTTGAAAGAGCAAGGGAGTGAACTGGATTAAGGCATTAGGTACATGGAATTCATTTATTTATCACATGAACAGATATTTTATAGAATTATGGCCCACAATAGTAGTAGTTTGCAAATTGAGGTCTATTTCTCTGAAGGATTTGTAAGTTTTCTATGTTAATTTTTAGGTTTTCATTTCAGTGGTCCTCTGAAAATTTAACTTACACATGTTCTGGGCTATCTGGATAACCAAATACTAACAGGAGGTTTTGGTGTCTCTGTTTTGTATCTCTTTTGAGCATATTAGCACTACTTAGTGTAGCATTTTGTGGCAGATTAATAAGAAAAAATCAGAGGCATCCTTTAAAAATGTAAAAGACTTACTCACCTTAACTGAAGCCGAAATGACAGTAAGCTACTCTGTCAGAAGATTTCACAATAGTTTAAAAGGAGAAGAGAGAGAAATGAGTCATAGCATGTAGTAAAATAGGCTTGCTAAAGTCTGCACCATATTCCTGTTGTGCGAGGTGATTTAGTTTGGCAAAGCATAATCATTGGTGTTTTTAAATTAATATTTTAAATTTAAATTTTGTTGACTTTATAGTTTTGTTTGCACTTACTTTATAATTTTGTGGGTGTTTTTTGTAGCTACAAGAACTATAATATGAAGAATTTGAACCTAACTTTATATTTGTACAGATTTAATAAAACATAATGAAAATAGTTTAAATTAGGAACAGGAGACCTTAAAAATGTGTTTTTACTTTTAGTGGATTTTAATGAGGTGTTTATACTTAAGTTTGTGAAAAATGACATTACAAAGCTTTGAGCTTTAGGGCCCAGGACACAGAATATTTACTTTAATGAAGTACAGGTGTGACAATTCACTGTAGGAAAAATGTTTCTGCTGCTAGTAGTGCTCATGGTGCTGAAAAATAGAAGAGAGGGATCTTAGGAAAATGTAGGAAGATTAGTTGGAGAAAATGGAGAAATTTGAGATAAAATCAGAGCTTTCTTTGCAGTTTTGCTTTTGGCTCTGAATTTGTGAGTTCTCTTTCTTAGTGATTTTTCTCAAATGGCTAAGCGAAATGCAGTGTTTTTGTTTTTAGACTTAAGAGAAGAAAAATGCTAATCAGCACTTCTGTGGATGGTGCAAATCTCTGGTGTGGAACACTGGGAGACCTAAAGCACTGTTTACAGTCATTGTGATAGAAGATCAGAGGAAAGAGATGCTGTTCCCCTCCCCCCAACCCCATCCCTGGTCCCACATAGGTATATTGGAAGAGAAAGAAAGGAGATGAGGGCTTTGCTTTGGTTTACTTTAATAGAAGGGGTACTGGGAGCAGGTGTTATTTTAGAGTTGACTTTGCTACCATGTCCAGAGCAATACTATCTGGAGTTCAGGCAATCCACAAATATTTATTGAGCACCTCTATGTGCCAGGCATTATGTCGGGAGCTGAAGACAGTGAACAATATAGGGCCCATGCCTTTTGGGACTTAGGTAAAACTAATACTTGTTGATTCTGTTGTATCGTGTCCCTATCTTCACTTGGTACACTTTAGTTGAATATGAGTGGGCAATGTGAACATTTTTAATGCACTCTTTATGATGATTTATCTGATTTCTGGGATGGAATACAGAATTAGAAATTGTAAAGCCTCAGATTAATTTGTTCTTATCTTTCTCTGTTTTTAAGGGGTGTTATGAAAGTTGACATAAATCTTCAGAAAGTGGACATTGACCAATGTTCAAGTGATGGCTGGTTTTCAGGAACTCACAGATGTCACCTTAACAATTCAGAGGTAAGAACGTGAAGATAAAATCCTCTGAAGTCAGAAACTCAGAAATGTATAACTTTAGAATTCTATTATATTTATGTGGGTAAGTGAACAACACACATCTTACTGGGAAAGAAAAGTCTCATATGCAGTTCTGAATGTTGCCAAATGAACTGAAAGAGGGGTAGAAAATTTTGTGCACAATAACTGTTCATTTGGGTACTAAGAGAAAGCTGAAACTAAAAATATGTCTGAGGTTTGGTGTTAGTCAAAGGCTGACCCATTCTTCAAAATGGGCTAGAAATTAAAATAGCCATGACGTGAGAAACCCAGGAAGGGTCAACCAGATTATGCACATTTTTATGCAGTATGATGCTTGTGGAAACACCGATGCTGTACATTCAGACACATTGCCATCTGCTAGAAAAGCGATAAAGTATGGCAGGGAAATTTTGAAAACAAATAGAAAACTATTCAGGGACCTGGATAAGAAATATGTATATTTGTGTATGTTTTTCAGTTTTCAGTTCCTATCTGTGCTCTATTTCATGGGACTCTTGTTGGTAAAAAACAGGCATAGAGATCATACTTCTGGAAATAAGACTGTTACTTGTCTTTTGTAGTTTCAAAGAGGAAATGCGATGACATCCTGATTTCATTTTCAGTAATCTCTCTCTCAGGTCCCAAAATGCTGTGAAACAACTGTACTATAAAACTCCTGATCTTAATTAAAAATTTGGGCTATCCCAACTTTGAGTTCATGACTTTGTGAGGAAAGTCAGCTTAATTTATTTAAAATACAGGGAGATTGCCATAAATGTAGTAATTTAAATCTTCAATTTTAATTTTTGTTCTTGCAAAAGATGGTTTTATACAGTGCATTTTTTTCTATCTGATACAATGCTCTTTACTTTTTATTTATTTTTATTTAATTTAATTTCAGTAGAGTTAATATACAGTGTTATATTAATTTCAGGTGTACAACATAATGATTCAGTACATAGTGCTCCACCACAATATCCTTCAACCTTCCTACCCCCTAAAACCCTTAGAAACCCTCATAATTCCTCACATCCCTCTAAATCCATCATACATCCCTACTATATCTCCGTGACTCCTACTTCCTTAATACCCCCTATACATTCCCACATATCCCCATACCACCTCCCACATTTCTGTACAGCTCCACATAGCCAGCCCTCCACACAGCCCTCACTTCCTTCACTCCCCCCACCCCCAAGTGGGGACTCAAATTATGTAAGTGAAATGTTTTGGTCTTGTCAATACATAGAAGTTAAGGTCCTCTTTTTGCTTCCTTTCACTCTTTGTTCTTTTGATTTTGAACTTTTCTGAGTTTCCACTTCCCTTTGGATGATTCTGGCATTTCTAAAGATACGAATTTCAATCACTGATCTGGCGAACATCTTTAGCTTGATTATTATCTCTATGCCAATAGCATATAACCATTTAGGTTTGTCTTTTAGCCAGGGTGGAATCTTTTTCTGCATGGGTGTTGTAGTGTGGATATTGATCTGTATGTGCTCATTTCTGTATAGCCTTGTTTCAGTAATGATCTTGGTGTGGGTTTTTTTTTTTTTTTTCCTTATAGCATATCTATTTGACTAGATGGTTATATTGCAAGAATTTCTCCTTCTGGAAGATTAATTTATTTTCATTGTACCAGGATTATTAATTTTCTGGGTGTTGTGTCTTTTTAAAACTTTCAAATAGACTTAGTTATTTCAAGATAAAATACTATCCTCTGTTCTGGTTAAAAAGCATTACATTGAAATATGTAACATTTTGCATTGTATATCTGAGCATTATACTTATTAGATTCCTTTAGGAAAAACTGGGAAAACATATCCTACAAGACTACTGACAGTTCAATAAATCTCATTTGAAAATATTGTTAAAAGAGGCTCAATGATCAATAATAACATCAATAAACAGTGAATGTACAAAATGCATATTTTGATTAGACTCTGGCTCTCTTCACCCCCTTCCCTTCCAATGTGCTAGAATTGGGAGTGGGAGACGTTGGTGTTCTGGGTTGGGCCCTGGAGGCCCTTGGTGGGTATTCTGACTAGGGCTGCCTTTGGAGCTCTTCACACTGTTTTGTTGGGCTTCTCTAAGGTCCTGTAGTTGGTGCTGGTCACGCTAGGCATCTGCAACAATTCCATACTTCATCTTCAGTCTAGGGACTGGCAGTGGTCTTTCAGTCCTTCCCTGTACTGATGTGAGTTGGAGATGAAGAACTGGCTTCTCTTGACCTTTGTATTGCTTGGGGAAACAAAGAAAAATCACTTGTTCGGGATATTTTTCATCTGCACTGGCTCTCCTTTGTTCACATATTTTCTGTTATGGACCCCAAGGATCCCTGTGTAAACTGGCTTATTTTGGGAAGTAGTTAACATGATATTTGTAGGGTGTAGGGGCCTATCTTTATGAATATCCATATCATTAGAAACAGAGACACTTACCATGTTTATTGTGGGTTTTATCTTGCCAATGTTTAACATTCTTCTTTTATAAATACTGCTGGAGGTCACACATTTTAGTTATATTGAGGCATACTTTTCACTTTTAAAATGTTTCTGGTGTGTTGAATTTTTAGCCTTTAGGGTATCTTAAACCAGAACAGTGAGTCTGATGTTGGAAACAGTTAAGTGGCATGTGACCAATGACAAAAGCCTCAGGAGCATTTTAGAAAGGCATGGAATGGTTTGTGAGGAAAATAATTTCTCAATGAGTTTGGGTCTTTACAGGAGCTAGGAGGCCACTAAGTATTTTTTAAAGGGCATAGTAAAACAGGATCTGAACCGACATCCTCTGAACTGGATTGCAGGATTATTCTGGCTGTTTTTGTAAGTGATCCAGATCGTTGCAACAGGGACTTGATCATGTTGTCAGTATTCATTTAAATAATTCCTGGCCTATTTTCATGTCATTGTTTGCGCTGAGTACACAAAATCCTCTCTTACAGAATAGTTTATTAAAAACATTAAAATAAATTGATACTCATTTTGGTTTTAAAGGTTTTCTTTTGCTTTGTTTCCATTATAAGAATTTTTTAAAATCACTGTTTAAAGTAGGACAGTGGCCTTGAAACTTTTGATTGTATTCTATTAGTAAGAATGATCTAAGTGTCCACCCATATTATATGTGTATTTTTAATCTAGAAAGTATGAGTTTTTTTATATTTACATATTCTATATATTATAAATTAGAAAACTTAGGTTGAGATAAAGATAAAATAATATATATTTTTAAAGATTTATTTATTTATTTGACAGAGAGAGACACAGTGAGAGAGGGAACACAAGCAGGGGGAGTGGGAGAGGGAGAAGCAGGCTTCCTGCTAAGCAGCGAGCCCGATGTGGGGTTCGATCCCAGGACCCTGGGACCATGACCTGCGCTGAAGGCAGACGCTTAACGATTGAGCCACCCAGGCGTCCCTAAAATAATATTTTAATGTAGATTATATATTATAAATATTATATCTTTAATGAGAACAGTAAATTAACTGATTCACAATTATGCCTCATCATTTTTTGAAATCTTAGTTTAATACTTAGTAATGCAATGATTCAGAGGTCTCTAAGTTCAGTTTATTTTTGTACTTTGTTTTAATGTCTGTCGTGGTTGAAAATATGCCTCACGAGGATATGTCTTTCCAAATTGAAGAAATAATTTGTTGATTGTGTTTGCGAAATAACAGTGCTCATTTTTCAGTTCCATGTACCAGTTTTGCACAGGTTTTCAAAATTCAGTTGGCAGTCTTTCATCTAACCTGATGTCAGTTGGTCCTTACAAACTATTTGAAAAGCTGGGAATTTTAATATTTTAAGGGAATAGGTTAAAAAGTCCCATTCACATTTTTGTGAGGAATATTTTCAAACAGATTAGGAAATTTTATTTCCAACTTTAAACTATATGGTTAATGAGTATTTATAGTTTTTGGCAATGAAAACCACATAACACTGAAAACATTTCCAAATGCGCATTTTCAAAACGCTCACTTTAGAAGGCTTTCTCATGGATTATTAAACTGTCGCTTTTACTTTGAAGGAACAGCTTATATGTATTTTTGGAACTACCTGCTGCATAGACACTACTGACGACCACTTGTCATTATAGAGCAGGTCAGCAAATTTGGAGCATTTTCTTTCTTTTTTTTTTTTTTTTAAGAGTAATGCATAACTAGTCTTTGAGTTTAGAAACAAGTAGTTCCCTTTGAGATAATCAGAAAATCTTTGTGTGGGAAAAGTTTTTCCAGGTCACACACCATCTCATTTTGAAGAACTGTATATGTTTTACAATTTAAAATAATATACTCTGTAAATCCACTTAGATGGTCAAATGTAAATGGTAATACATTGAAATTTGAAAGTAGAGGAAGGAACCATTAACCACTGTTAATAATGGCACCTGGGAACTCCTAGCTTTCCTTCAGGATACTTCAAGTGACTTACCAGTGTTGTGGTCATATGACATGTGGACTGAATAAAAGCATGAATGTCTATCCAAGTCTTAAATTAGTAAAGCTTGATTTCCTATTTTTTTTAATAAAAAGTTTAAATATAAATAGAAGTTCTATTTTCTTTCCATATGTCAATTAACCTCTTGTGTCCTCGGCTTTGGAGGATACTTCTTGAGGTTATCAGATTTACTGTTCTATTTAGAATCACCTGAATGGTTGTGTTGTCAGCTGAGCCAGTAGTTTTATATAGTTCTAAGATAATTTTCTGATATCTCTTTTTTCTACTGTTAGATGGGAATCCACTTGTAACTCTTTACTACTCCATTAAGTCTAAGTTAATTAATCTCTAAAGATATATTTTTAGAAAGTTAAAAATGTAAGAAAAGATGTCATTTAATGTGCAAGAAAAAATTTAATGCAAAAATCTAAGGAAAGCAGAAGGAGTTAATCATTCTCTTTTGGAAGCCATCTTATATACAGAATATAGCTTACTCATTTGGCTGCAATAGGATTTAGAGTACTTTTCCAGAGATCGCTTACT